AATGTAATGTACTTCAACATCATTAACTATAATAAATAATGGCAATAACACTTTGAGCAATGCAAATTCTAGCCCCTGTCTTAATTAAAGTATCTTCTCTCACATGTTCAACCTATAAACTTTGAGCCGCTGGGTCCTTTAGGATGCAAGCTTGCACACTATACACACAGGTCATCTACTCCAAGAACACATTTCACGTTTGGAATGGTAGCAAGCAAGCATATACTGCAAACACGTTTCACAAGAGTAAGTTATTGTGCATCCTCATTTAAATGCATGGAAATAAAGAAAAATGTTTACCTGAAACTAAAGATGAATCTTGAAGATAATTGCAGCAAGTCCAATTATATCTGCCTAATTTAAAATCCTTGCTCATGTATATGCAATGAGCATACTAGACATATGAGCAAACACCATATTATTTCAAAAAAATCCATATGAACGGTAAGGCATGAATTTGTAAACTAAAAGCAAAGATCAATCAAGAGCAAATTAAAATTAACAAGATGCAACACCTTATGATTAGAAATTAACTTATAATGACCAAAACTCCTCTTCTGATGCTAATGCTGCTTATCATCCTCATTTGTTTCTCTTTCGGGATAAGTTTTTTCTTTTATTGAATTAACCATATAATGATCACATCAACAACAGAAAGGTACAAGAGAACATAATATTTTAAAGAAAATGCAGATTATGGAAGATATATAGCATAAATTTAATGGTTTCTTAACACAAATGATTAAACAAAAAATATGCAACATCAAAATTATGAAATGAATACAGAAAACCCATGTAAGAATGAAGTAAACGGGGACAAAACTCAGAGACAGCATAAATTTACTCAAAATGCAGGCGAACACATAATCCGAAAAGAAGAAACGAGAGCGAAAGTAAGACATTTACCCTGGTAAGCCTTGTTTATCTCTTGAAATCTTGAAGTGGCGTTATTCCCTTCGTCCTTTTTCTTATCCGGATGCCATTTCTGCAGAAACAACCTCAAGGCTCAAACTATTAAACAAAAATAAGGAATATATATATATTAAAATTTTGCGGCGTTTAAAAATAACAACGCCACCAAAGAATTGAAATAAAAGTGTTTATTTAAAAAACGCAACTAATGTAATGACAAACTATGACGTTTATTAAAAAAACCACTAAAGTACTAGACTGTATTGGCGTTTATAATTCAAAACGCCACTAATGTACCGACAAACTACGACTTTTATTAGAAACGCCACTAAACTACTAGGATGGCAGCGTTTGTCTAAAAATGCTACTAAACTACGACTTTGTGATGGAGTTTTTTAATAAATTTCACTAAAGTACTTGTTTGTTGCGGCGTTTGTGAAATAAATGTCACTAAAGTATGAGTTTTAGCAGCATTTGTGAAAAGAACGCCATTAATGTTACCATTTTGTGGAATTTTGGCTATAAACGCTGCGACATGTATAAATTTAGTGGTATTTGTTTGAAAACGACGTGAAAAACGCCGATATATACATGTTTCGGTGTAGTGAGTGAGTTTGAATATAATTTGCTCACAGAAATATTAAATTATAAATTATCCAGGGCCAAAATAATTCCTTTATTGTTTTTAAAGTAAAAAAATGAGAACAATACAAAGGAAAAAATACTAGGGTTATTTATGAATAAATTATAGTTATTTATCTTATTGCCACATCATTGAAGGAATTGCATGAGAAAAATTATATAAAATTTAGAGATCAAAGTAAATAAAAACATTAAGTTCAAATATTATTTTTTCATTTATTTTAATTGATTATTTTAATTATTAGAATAAAAGTTTAAATCAAATCAGATGGACATAAATTTATTTTATCATAATCAAGTCAAATCAGGTCTACGGGGACATGTATACCTAATACCTAGTTAATAATACTAAATTCTTGAAGTAAAGACCTTGGCAGGGACGAACACATAATTTATGTTAGGAGACGAACTTTTAAAATTTTAAGAATGAGTTAACTTATAAGATTTGAGAGAAAATAAAAGTATATTATCAATAGAAATACATAAAAAACTAAAATATATGATAATTTGAAATTTTTAGGGGAATGGCTTCCCCAACTATCTTCCTCTCGGTCCATCTCTGGAGTCCAACTAGGGATAGCAATTTAACCTGAAACCGACGCGTTATGATTTGACCTGATCGATAGGGTTAGAATATATTTTAAAAAAATCAGGTTCAAATCGGATCATGCCATATTTTTTAAGGGGTGAGGTCGGGTGGAGGATGAAAAAACTTCGACCTGACTCGACCCAAGGATAATAATGTAATTTCTTTAAGAATATTTATTTATCATTTTTAATTAAATCCTTATTTTATTATCGGGTCGGATAGGTTCGGATTTATACTCTAAAAATTCAGGTTGGGTCGGAATCGGGTAAAAGATATATATATTCGGGTCTAATCGGATGGAGAATATATAATTTTGGGTCCTGACGGGTTGACCAAAATACCAACCCTAACCCGACCCATTGAGATCCCTAAGTCCAACAAAAAAAATGAATTTCTAGAGTATGATGACAAATAAACTATATCAAGAAACCCCAAAAGTAAAAGGGAGAAAATATAGTGGCTATGAGATCATGGATCATGTAACGTGTGGAGACCATTGTTGGCTTTAAAGTGTGGGGTTAGGTGTATATATATATATATAGGACCATGTGTCACAATGAAGAAGATGGTTGCACAGGTTATACATACACACACACCCATTAAAGCAATATGGTGTGCCCAAAAGGCCTACAATCCCATGCATCATGGCTTGGGGTTTGATCGGATCTTTTGCTTTTACCAACTTCCAAGTTGTTGCTTGCTTCTTCGACATTCCTCCGGATTTCTGCTTTGTGCATGAGCCATGAATCCACGCCTTCAATTCCATTCACATTTGATTAGGGTCTAGGTTTAAAGAGTAAGCTTGAAGTTGCACTCTTTATGGTTGAAATAAGAAGGAAAAAAAACATGTGAGAAGGCCTATCTTTTGCATGCAGAGGCGGATTGACGTATAGTTTACTGGAGTCATTTGTCCCTAGTTGGGTCTAAAAAATCTTTTGAGAGAAAAAATAAATAAATGTAATTGAACACACTTGATACGAAATCTAGATTTGTCATTGTAATTTCCATGTGCAATACTTAGAGAAATACCAAAGTCGCATTAATCCTACCTGATAGAATAACGAACATCTTATTCACATTAAAATACACGTGTGAGAGGTCCACCATGATTCAGTTACTAGTTTTCTTTTGGTAAGACATTTGATATATCAGATCCTATAAAATATTTTTCGTCGAATACACTCAATTATATGACTTTGGAGATTATTATATGAATCGTTATTAATATAAATGATATTCTTAAAAAATTTAAATCCGAATATCATAATTCACCTTTAAAATGCTTTTATTAGGTATGGTAGGAGGAAAATAATTGATGACAAAATTATACTTTGTAGGCCAATAGTAAAGTGAAGTCCCAAAACATAAGAACTCTTCAATCCCCCACAAAAGTAGAGAAAAATATTGAAAGAATCCTCACATTTTTTGTCACACCTAAATGGTCCCCATTCTATACAAGCCACTAACAAATTTTGGAAAAGGACATTAATCCTTTTCAAAATATTCTTTCATGCCTTCACCCTTGCTAAAATTCAATTCCCATAAATAACAATACTTGGGGTACTTAATTCAACAACACAATGTTGGGCTAGCGTTATGGCATGTTTCACTTTTTAGAAATTAGGTTTAAATTGTGGAGACGTGATTAATGATAATAATCGCAAAAAACTCTTACAGTATTTTTGTCCCATACAATTTTTGAGATTAAATACTTAGTGAGTCTCTTGTTTTGAAGTTAGATAATTTGGCTCTCTCGATATTTTTGGTCTAATACTATTTTAGGTTCCTATCGGTTTAAACTTAAGTCAAAATAGAGTCTTGCACTCTCCAAATTTTAAGATTAAATACTTAATAAATCTATATTATTTTGAACTTAAACAATATATTCCTCTCAAAGTATGATCCTAGCTCCATCCTTATATATTTGGTTCATTCATATCAATTTAGTGTTTCATTATTGTTATCAAAACTATACAGTTAGAAACATATATGCTAGGAAAACTATAAAATTTAGATTTTACAATTCTATCTCTTTTATATCTAAAGTTTAAATCCTTCATAGAATAAATGACATTCTAATAAACGAAGTTGTGAAGTCTAAATTATCTTTCATATGTTTTATAGTTTGTATTTGGGTTTTTTATTGTTTCTCCCAATAATATTGTCTTTAAATTTCAAATATAAGTCCTCTTTAAAGATGCAATGTGTTTTACCACTATACTTAACAATTTTCGGTACATATACATACATATATATATATATATATATATCAATTTTGCTTTAAGAAAAATCGATATATTCCATTTTTTATTGGTGAGACAGCATTTATTCATGTTGCATACATGAACTATGGGAGGCTTAGCATATATATATATATAAACATAAACGATGAGGTTCTTTCTTTGATTCCCAGCTGCAAACTCCCTGGATTCCAGGTTATATTTACATAGCTCGACAATCCGTATGTGTATACGAATTTCGTGATAGTTACACACACACATATATATATATGAAACACTTTGTATAAATATACAAAGTCATGTTCGTTTAGGTTTCTCTAGAACTATTAGTCTCACTCACGTCCAATACAACTTTTTTCCAACAAGAAAACAAAAACAAAGACAAAGATTCCCCATGGTGGGGTTGATTTGAAGGACCAAACCCGAAAAGAAACAAGGATTCCCTTCAATCTTGTTTTTTGCACACATCCATGGTAGACTATTTTCGTCTACCTGTCCCTCAATGCATAGCCTTTTTCTTCTCTCTCTCTCTCTCTCTCAAGTCATGCCCCTCAACTCAATAACTCACATTTATATATATATATATATATATATATATATATATATGTGTGTGTGTATATACCCTAAAATCCCCATATCTCTTCCCTAAGAAGCCTTTGTTAGGTAAACAAAACATGTCCGGTGTTTGGGTTTTCAAGAACGGTGTGGTTCGTTTAGTCGAGAACCCTGGTGCCGAGCCATTGGACGGTAGCCGACAGGGTTCAAGCAGCACCGCACATCGCAAGGTGCTCGTGCATGTTCCCACCAACGAAGTGATCGCTTCCTATGAGGATCTCGAGCTTAAGCTATTGTCACTCGGTTGGGAGAGGTACTACGATGACCCTGATCTCCTCCAGTTCCATAAACGGTCCACCGTGCATTTGATCTCTCTTCCTAAAGATTTTAGCAGGTTCAAGTCCATTCACATGTACGATATCGTTGTCAAAAACCGGAACATGTTCGAAGTTAGGGATATGCAAAACCTTTAGTGTTACACTTGCAGCGGCATGCACTGCACTACTTGTCTTAAATTCATCCTCCTTTGTTTTCGTTTGTTTGTTTTTACCATTATGGAATATGATATATATATATATATATATGATTGTTTTGACCTTCGAAGTTATCTCAGTTATATACGTCAAGGACGAAGAGAATCGAAACATTAAAATAACGATCGCAATACTACGAATGCGATCTTAAGAAGTGATTGTGGGTTTGAGCTATTAGGGTTTAAGAAATTAGAGTGATTATTTTGCTTTTTTCATCCTAGTAATAAAAGAATTGGTGTTTTCCCTTGTGTGCTATGAATGAATGAATCTTACTTATAGTTTAAATATTATACAACCAAAGAATGTAGATTTTAATTTCAATGTATTTTTTTTATTCGAAGATAAATTATTAATGCCATGAACTCGAATTAACTTAATGCAATTCTACTAATCACGAAGGGCTGGCGTGCGTTTATGCAGATTGTTTTTAGTAAGTTTCATTAAGAGAAATATGTAAAATATCATTTGTAGACAGTTATTGTATAAATTCATATAATTAGGATATCGACAGCGATTAAATTAACGGGAATAATGCTTTCATTACTTTAGAAAACATAAGAGTAAATTCTTACGAATTTTTATAAAAGGAATGTACGAGCAAAGACACGTGACCACAATCGCAAACCAGTTAAACAGCAACAACATGCATGTAAGAGAGTTGTCTAATCCACGTATAACAAAAAGGATAAGAAAAAGATGACTATTTAAATACCCTTCCCAAGAGATACACCCTCCAAATGTGGGATACAAAGCTCACCTTTGAGCATTACCAACACATAATGCACAAGACTCTTTAAAGGGTTATTAAATAAAGTTCTAAGTAAACACTAAAAAGTTTATGTATAGAAGAGATCATTCTTTTAATAAATTTATAATTAATACAAGATAGTATCTGTTTAAAAGCTCTTAATTACTGAAATTGTTTATCCGTGCAACATCATTCACGAATTTATAGTATTTAGATATCAACGTCAACCATAATATTGTGAAATTGATACAGCCCCCCACATGTATACATATATATTTGAGCTAAGAATTTAGGGACCACAATTGGAGAAGGAAGGGGACATTCGTGTTACCATTTTGACAAACAGATGAGACATGCATGCACATGTCCGAAGACTTACTTTACTATATATGTATATAAGAACCAAAGCAAAATTTTATATAGGAAGGTGAATTTATAAAGTTTTGGAGAAACAAATATAAATTGTCAATAAAATTTATATAAAAATCTAAAATATAAAAGAATTTGAAAATTTGCATGCCACATCAATGTATTGTTTTTGAGTACATAAGTTCTTTTATATAAGGACGGAGTTAAAATCAAATGTTAGAAATAATAAAATATTATTAAATAGTTCAATGATAAAAGAGTATTTTTTTTTCTAGAAGATCTGAGTTTGACCATTTGAATACATAGAATGTATATGAGTTGTCAATAGATTAAGAAAGTTCAATACGACCTGATTTGGTTCATTAATCGATTTTGAACAAACTTTCGGTTATTACAAAGTATTCTGATTTTAAAACGAAGAGAAACCAGATCGAATTTAAGCTTATATACAAGTTGAAACTAAAAATTGTAGTGGTTTAGGACTGCTAGATCTACTACTGCTATTTGCAATGCAGAGAAAAATTGTACATAAGCTTCACAAATAGGTAGATGCCTTCGAAGTTCAATGATTCGTTCCGAGAATAATGACAATGACGGTAACATAGTCGTGGTATCTCCTCCTACCAGCCGGAGCGTTCAACAACTCTTCCGTCCTGAAACCTATGGTAGTAGTAACAGTAACATAAGAAAACGATAAACCAAAAGACACGGATGATTTGTAATTGTTGTTCAAATGTACCTGCAGAACGAGCTGCTTTGATTACGAGCTGTTCCACGAGAAATTTTGCAGGGTCTCCGGACGGGGTGCTTGAGATGTAGGGACAGACAAGCTTTACAGCTTCTTCATTGTTGAAGAAGTCGAATAAACCGTCGCCGCTGACGATAACAAAGTGATCGGATCTTGATATTTTGTGCACGTTCAGTGATGGTTCAGTGGAGATATAAGGACTAATGAGGTTTCGAGCTCGAAGAATTCCCATCAGTGCATCGTTCAGTTTCTTCTGCAAAACATCGGTTACATGTTAATGTGCAGTGAAAGTCGATCTTCATAGAGGGGGATATATAAAGAACGACAACTATAAGTCGCGATGAGAATAACCAGAACCAACCTTTTTCAAGTAACCGACTGTCACCTAAATTGAGTGTATACAAATGTTTACCGTGAAGAAGTATAACCAGAACACAAGATCCTACAGAAACTAAATCGGGCCGGTCCTCCATTTCCTGCTCTACCATGTGCAAGAAATCATTCTCGGCTTGAATTAGAGCTTTTTGGAGGATATCAAGCACCCGATGCCTAAATGAATGAGATGATGCTTCCATTTCAGGATCCACGCCTTTCCTCGTAAAGCTTTTGGCACTTGCAGCATCAATACCTGCCATACTATCATCAATAGAACATTCAAATGGAGCTCTGGGAACATCCTTCTTTGACTCTGATTCTAGTAAATTAAAGTAAAACATTATGGTTTCATATAACGTCCCTGCGAGAAAATCGGCAGCGTCCCTCCCATTGAAGCCATCATAGATGGCACAAAAGAGCCATTCGTTCTCTTCGGAACAGACGGCTTGAACCCTATCTTCACCCGCAGCTCCACCCGCTACTTGAACTTCCACAGCATTAAGGAAACTGTCACTTCTAGTGAGAGCACTCATGGATTGGCATAAACAAGAATCAGTTTCATGTGAATCAACCGAACTCGGTGGACTGCAACTTAAGTTTGTCATAGTGCTATGCAGGGAAGTCGATAATATATCAAACCTTGTAAGAGACGGAGAAGAAGGAACCCTACGAAACGAATTAGGGGAGTCCAAACCAGGAAGAATATCAGATCCTATCAGACCATTGCAGATATTGGTGTTGGCCAAGGTAGCATTAGCACTTAAGGCAGCACCAGATAAACACGAGAAACTGTGGTTCCTCGGCATTTTAAGTCCAGACGCAACTCCATACCTATTACCACCCCTGCACGGAATACATTCATGGTCGTTGCATTGATAGCCAAAACTCACCTTAATCTCCCCTTCAGAATCAGTACAATTGTCTCCTAGCATTGTAGGGTGAAACATATCATATTTCTCCATCATGTAAATTTTACATGTATGAAAAAGTCTCACTAATTTATAAAAAATTCAGCAAGTCCGTGATATCATATTAACAAGATAAAGTCCACAAATCTAGTGCAATTCTCAAAAGGGGCCTCAAAAACTTCAAAGATTAACAAACATGAACTCATCAATCAAACTCTTTTTTGTTGCTAAAACTTACCTATTATATATTCTTGTGACCAACATGACATTATGAATAATTTCATAGCAACATGTATATGTTACCGAACCCCTCGCCACGAGCAATTACCGGAGACCCCTCGCAAGGACCCCTCAGCCTGCAAAATTGTCTCAACAACATCACCACATAGTGATGTGATCCAATTCAGCATCATATTTACCATGGCTATTCCAACCTCTCCAGGGAAGAAACTTTCTATCTTTATACCTATAGATGCTTATTTTATATGTTATAAGATAGTTATTTTCATATATATATATATTATACCTATAGTTATTATGATAATAAGTTATCCATTTATATATGAGATACAAGTTATTATCATATACTATAGTCACAATATTATAATATACACATTATATAAGCTTATATACTTAGTTTATTTCTTTATGTTATGCATGTAGGCACATTCGGCCAACACTTGGGAGCTGCATTAGAGCTAAATGGAGCATGTAACAGTAAGGAAACTTACATGGGATCGATTAGGAGAGCACAAGGAACAATTGGTGAAAAGTTGTCCGGAGGCCGTGAGTTCATAGCTAGATTGAGCTGAAGATTTGAGCTACAAGATGACCTTATTTCAGCTGGGGAGTTGCACCATCATCATCACCACTTAGGACACTTCAAATATGTCCTAAGTCAAAATTTGTGAAATCGTACCTTTTCGCGAATAGTTGCCACCTCAAGAGGTACCTTTTCATAAGGAGCTGCCCAAACGTTCACCATGTCACAAGTCATCTATGGCCAGCTCACCTTTAGCTCATTCACACCATAAGCAGCTCAAACATGAAGGGACACCTTTCTCAAACATTGTGACCTTTAATGAATGATGTTGCCCATGAAAATGCCTTTTCATCTAGGAGCACGTTGGTGAAGGAATTGCTAGCATTGGAAGCTTAAATCACCAAGAGATATGAGATAGAGCTCCATGCCTATTCGGTCACACCACATGCCTTGCACATGGAAGCTTTGGCGCCAAACATGATAAAGCACATGACTGTTCGGCCAAGGAAAGGAAATTGACGCCAAGATGAACAAGCATGAACCATTCGGCAAAGGGAGATGTCTCTCCACCCTTTGAAATCATTAAGGCCTTTCATGAAGAGTTAGTCGAACCATCACAAGCCCAAAGGACTTATTCATTCTTCTCAAGCATTATGTATTTTCCTAAAGACATGTATCTAGCCGAAACATCATGTAACTATTCGGCCAAGCCCTCTCATTTCCTATAAGTAGAGTGGCTTGCCTTCATTTGTACTTATCTCATATCTTATATAAAATATACTCTTGTGAGTTATTTCTCTTCAAAGTTCTTTGTGAACTTTATCGATTAAGCAAGTATAATTTCTTATACTTGTGGCGTTATTCTTTCCAACTTGATTCCTAAATTCCTAGATTATTATCTAGTGGGTTGAAGACACTATCACCACCCCTCAAACAAGTTTGTGAAGACCGGGATTGTGCTCGTTAGCATTATTTCATCTTTGGAGAGTTTGAGATACAAATCAACACCATCTCCATTTCATCATTGCCATCATCAACAATATCCATCAATACCATCAATTCCGCAGCCATCTCTATCCTATCTTTATTTCATTCCTTTACTTATATTATTATTCATTTCTTAAACCCATCATTAATCATATTTCTTTCTTATTATTTTGCAGCCCAAGCTTATTAATTCAAGGACATCAGTACTTGTCAATCCTAGATCGGGACACAATAAGGCTATTACT